CCAGGGCGGGCGCAGAGCGGCCGAGCCCGACGCCGAGATGCCGGCCACCGAGAAGGACTTGGCGGAGGACGCGCCGTGGAAGCGGATCCAGCAGAACACCTTCACCCGCTGGTGCAACGAGCACCTCAAGTGCGCCCAGAAGCGGGTGGGCAACCTGCAGACGGACCTGGGCGACGGGCTGCGGCTGATCGCGCTGCTGGCGGGGCTGAGCGGCCAGAAGCGCATGTACCGCAAGTACCACCAGCGGCCCACCTTCCGCCAGATGCAGCTGGAGAACGTTTCGGTGGCCCTGGAGTTCCTGGAGCGGGAGAGCATCAAGCTGGTCTCCATCGGTGAGTGCGTCCCCCGCGAGGGGCTTTTGGGGTGGTTTTGTGTTTGGTTTTTTCTTTTTTTTTCCACTTTATTGTGTTTTTTTTTCCTTCACCGGGGTCAGAAGCTGAGGGATTGCTCTTTCTATCCCTCTTTAAAGAGCAAGCTTTGGGGGCGCGGTGTAGCGTTGGTCTGCAGCTCTATGTGCGGTGTGTGCTATGGGACTGTCCCACAGCCCGGCTGTCAGGGCTGGCGATGCTCTCCTGTCCTCCTCAGTTTCTCTCTAGGTCACTACTTCATAGATGAGGCTTTGCTTTCAGATCTTTTCCTGAAGAAGCCCGGTGCCAGAACCTGTTCCCTGCCTGCGCAGCCCATTTCCCAGGCGCTGACCCCTCTGACAGCCCCGGCAGGCGATGGCACGGGGACGATGCGTGCCCCAGCCGGTGTCCCTGGGCTCTGGCAGGCTGCGGGAGCCCGGCTCTCCTGGGCCGAGCTGCGGGGAGAGATGCTCTGCCATCGGTGGTGGAGGAGCACGAGGAGGTTTTTCTCGCTCACCAGCGCTTAGTAGATGATGTCAGTGTTCAGGTCAGCGTGGACGCTTGCCTAAGCGCAGTTGCAGCTTTTGATCAGACTGCACTTTCTCCTGAATCTTCCTCCTGTGGTAGAAAACGCCCAAGGACCTGTGCAATCTCTTGGAGATGGGTGATTCGAGCTACTGCCTGCCCTGGCTGGCACGAGGGTGGAGTGTCCGTGCCGTACAGGAGGGTGCAATCGCTAGGTAACCGGTGGGCTGCTCAGGAAATGAAAGCTGTTGGCACACACGTCAGATTGCAGATGATCCCTCAGGAATGCATGTGGTGACCGTTTTGGGAATAGCTCAGGTGTGGCTGCAGTCTGTAAAGCAATAATTTGAATGCCTGAGATCTCTGGGAAGGAATGTGAATGCCTTTTCTAGCTCTCTGCCAGATAACTAATTACTGCCTCCTGATGGCTCTGGCCTGGGTGAATTGCACAGCTGAATTTGGGTGAGTGCAGCTCTGCTCAGTTGCCTGAAACTCTGGCCAAGGTGTAAGCTGTTTCCCTTCAGAGGCTTTAGCTACAATAGCAAGGAAATGCAAACCTCTCCAGTTTGGGAGAAACCCTGCCCTCTCTGGAAACCTGTGGCTGGGTGAGGTAGGTGTGTAGCCTGTTGTTCCTCACTGCTAACGTGTGAAAGCAGCTTTGGACAAATGAGGACTGTGGGGTCCTGAATGGCTGATTATCCTCTTGGGGGGGAAAAACAGCTAATGTACTTGCAGCTGGGAATGGAGCTGGTGTTGATTATTTACCGAGAGATGTGTTCCCTTCGTGCACAGCGGGGCTCGAGTTGCAGCTGCCGACTCCTGGGCTGAGCTTGCGTTTGCTAACATCGGAGCTCACCTTTCCGCTTCAGCCACTGGAATGGCTCCTTACCAGCCCCAGCGCTAACGCCAGCCCAGCGCTCCCCTCCTATTGTGTTGTTTGCCCTAGAAAAATGTCGCTGCTCCAGCTGCCTTCCGATTCGTCTGTGGGACTTCCCGAGGGCTGCGGGTTTGGGAGATCAAGGTTAGTCCGGTCAGGCCTGGCTTCCAGCGACTTCCTTTGGAGAAGCACTGCTGCAGCGGCAGCACAGCTCCCTGACGGGATTAGACAGAGCTGCAGGGTGGCTGTAATCATTTAAGAGCTGTTTAACTGTTTTGCAGTTTACTTGCATTGTGTTGGCTATTAAAGACAACAAAACAGCCCCCAAACAATCCCAAAAACTCCCACAAAAACCCAAGACTAAACCAACCAAAAACCCTGTAGTTGGAGCTTTGGAGAATGAAATGAGGATGGCTGCTGGTGACTTTGCCAGATCCCAGCCTCTCCATGGAGGGATTTACAGCTCCATCTGTGCTGTGCCACCAGAGCCAAGGGGTAGCACAGGAGCCTTACTATATGTACAGGCCTGGGTAAACCGAGCCACTCCTGAGAAAACATCCTGATCTTGCTTTCCGAAAGAGCCGTTCGCAGCGAGCCTTGCGATACTGCATTGGTTGAAGGGGCTGAAGCCCAGACCACCCCTCCTGCGGGTGCAGCGCTGGCTGCGGGCGCTGCCTGCCCCCAGTGGGTTTCCCCCTGCAGGTTCTCAAGAACTTGGGTCTTTGTTTCCAGTTTTTAGTGTCTCCTTTTGTGTCGCTGAACAAAAACCGAGGCCATTCGGGGGTTTGGAGCTGTGTACCAGCAGATGTTTCTAGGTAGAGAACTCTTATGACCAGTTTGCTCTTTAGGGTCTGGGGTATTTAGGGCCAGCTCTGAGCCAAATCAGCTGGGGAAACCTGACAGCTGTGGCTGCTGGATTTCTGGCATTAATGCTGCCATCAGACCTCTGCTAAGTGGATGCAGTGCCTGTTCCAGTTATTATTTAACTTCCAGGAACGTTTTGGAAGCCGTGTATTATGGCTCAGCTACTGCTGCTGTACTACAACCACACTTTTAAACTTTCTCAGTAGCAAGCTTTTGGCATTCAATTTTTTATCTATTTAAAATAGGCCTGCCTACACACAGACAAATCAGTTTAGATTTATAGTGTTTGACCACAGCCCTTTCCGGATGCGCAGTTAAGAGTCCAACCTCTCCTGCTGCTGTTACGCCTTGTTTAGTCTCTGCTCAGAGTCTGTTGGTAGCTTAAAGATGCTTTTCTTCTAGGCGTGAAGTGCCTTCGCTTCAGTGCAGATGTGACCAGATGTGTGATCTACTGTAAAAACAGCCATACGGCACATCGGTGCTTTGTGCCATCTAGCAATGATGGGGTTGAAAGCTCCGAAAAAGCTGCTGTGAGGGAAGGTGACTCAAAGGAGTCTCCTGCTCAGTGTGAGATAGCTGCTGTGCTACTCCAGTGTTAACAAGTATTAAGTCTGGCTTTTTATTTGTCTGCTAGACTGAGACAATTGCGGAGTCCTGGGTGCCGAGTGGCATGTGGCGTGACAGGCACTGCGGAGTAGGACCCCGGGAATGCAGAGCACAAGGGCTTTGCTCTTGGCCAAAGGAGCTGATCGACTCCAGATTACCTCGTGCCTTGGGAAAAGCTGCAACAAGTGGCTGATAAGGGGGGTTGAGGCTAATGTGGCACTGAGCTTGCCCCTAGAAACCCTGATACCAGGCAATAAGGAGTAACTGATTCAGTTTAGAAACAGAAGACTTTGGTGTCAGAAGGCTGGCAGGCAGTTTCGGACCGTTTCCTGCCAAGTTGCCCCCAAGCTCGCAGGCGGCGGCTCCTGGGTGTGTGCTCTGGTGCTGTTGGTGCCTGTTGGCTGTGGCCTCGTGGCTGCTGCTTGCCCGGCACAGGGGCAGGATGGATGCCAAGCAGCTGGCTTGCTTGTTTGGTAAAACTGCAATCTTGGACTGCAGCAGTCAGATTAATCAATCTGAAAAATTGTAGTTTCTCTTTGCTGGGTTGCGCTTCCACCAGATAAGTGTGCTGATCTGGCTTGGCTCCCAGCTGCAGGGTGTTGTGGAGATCTGATGTCAGCCCCAGCTACAGTTACGCAGTTGGCTTTAAGGTTTGTCTTTGTGGTGGTACGAGTCCCACTGCAGCGCCTGGAGGGCATGAAGCCATGCCAGGGGAAGATGGTTGAGGAGAAGATGAGGTTTGGTGGTGGATCATGGTCTGGTGGTACTTGTCTTGTGGAGACCTTGGTGGTTTTAGGATGTTGGAGCTGCAGGAGTCCTTCTGGAAAGGCTGTCTCTTTCTGACTGACCCTAACTTGTATCAGGTGTTTTCTTTGTTAACGACCAAGTATTTGATGCATGCGCTGTGCTCTGTAGTGCAGACCTCCAGCATGCACTAAAGATGAAAGTATCTTGACCTGCGAGTCCTTTGAGTACCTCTTTGAAATCTCATTTTTAGGAAAACAGTTGAAAACCAACTTTCATCCCTAGGTTATTGATACACTCACTGAAGGATGACAAAGCAAATCATAAATGAGGACCACTCATCTTTATTTAAAATTTGGTGAATGTATTGTCCTGTAATGACTGGAGCTGGGTGCTTGAAAACCAAAGAACAGAAAATGTGTTTTCAGCCTGTATACACTTAGGGTCTCTGTCTTGCTCCAGGTGCTATTAACACGTCATAAGGAGGTAGTGAAAATACACTTGCATTTTGTCTGCCATTTACCTGTGACTTCCCTGGAGGCTGTTTTCTGGAAAATATTCAGTGTGTCTTGGAAGCGGGTTTCAGCTTCTTGGAAATGTGACACTTAATCCTTCCCCTTGAATATTGTTTTTGATAGACTAGCAGTGGGCCTCACTGCTGGAGACTAGAGGTGGCTTCAGTTTCTGAGAGTGGTTGGTCTCCTCAGGACCTTCTGCTTCAATAGCTGGACTGCTGGTCTAAAGAAAAAGTGGCTTTGCATGAACTATTTGCTCCAAGTTAGAGGAAACTTTAAGGTAGCTTAGGCAGACTGCTCTTGCATTCTTTCACATATGAGCGGAAACTTGTAAAGTGATCAAACTTCAGTAAAATTACTTGGGACCAGTTAGACTAATGTGCTAAACAGCTTTTTCATTTAAGGCACTGGACACTATGCCAGCTATTCAGGAAGGACTGAAGTCTTAACTGCTCCATATTCTAATGCCGTGTCTTGTATTGACTTACTTGGGTATGTTTAAATGGGTCAGAATAACTATTTTCCTAGCCTGCAACTGTAATCTAAGAACATGGTTAGCCACGTGTGTGGCCGTGCTTCTGCGTTGCCACTATTGTTCGGAGTCTGCTCCAAGTGATGGGATGTAAAACAATGATTTCCAAATCCCCCAAGCTGCAGAGGAATTCTGTTTTCTCCCTGCCCCTCAGAAACAGACTTTGTGCAGCTAGTATGGGATACGAACGAGGGCCTGCCAAGTCTAGACCACTAAAACATGCTAAGCAAGCACACCGGAGCAAAACTGCGTTGTGGGCGATGATGGTGTGAACAGACCTGCTGTACTGTGGTGCTCGCCAGGTCTGTGCCACCGGCATCAC